ACGTTAAAGTAAAAAATGGAAAAACTTTGTGATACGATATTCATAAATTACACAAGCTTTTGTTTACGCGTTTTTCGAAAAATCGTTCGAAGTTTTAAAAATACATCGTTTCGCGTCGATGAAATTTCTAACGAAAGTTATTTAATTAAATTTGGCCACTTTGGCAGTTTTAGTGTTGATCAAAGTATTAAATATGACTGACCGAGCGCAGTGTGGATCGCGACGATATTCTGAACAGCGCGATCGCACTGCGTGGCAGTGAAACGATTCAAGGACGACGCGGCGGTATCCCGTACGTGGAAAGTTCAGGCTCGAAGGTGATATCCACACACTTATCGTTGGACGATCGATCGATCGTCGACGACGTTTCTTCTCACGAGGCACTTGATCAGGCGAACCGAGCGAACGAATGGCAATGCTTGACCGGACGATCGCCAGTGGAACGAGGCGTTAGCCTGCAGGTTACGAGCAGCAGAAACTGCTGCTTCTCTCTTCTCTGCGAAATGGCACAGAGTCAACGAGGCTCACAGAGTCGTCACGAGCGGGGGTGGGAGGAATGTGTGGAGAAAATGGGGAGAAACTTTTGTCGCGTACACGTACGTACGTTCGAGCCGATCGTTGATGTTTGGACGAGATCCGATCCGACCAGGATCGGGTGGAAACGAGCTGAATTTTTTCTCGCGGCGGGACTCTGCCAGGTCGGCTCTTTGTTTTTCCTTGGTTCGGCCCGGGCTCCGTAATTTCGTTCCGACCGCGATGGTAAACGCTTTTTCCCCGGTCTCCGATCGAAACGGGACGAGAGAGAGAGGAAGAGAGAGGGAGAGGTGGCGCTCGTTTCTCTTTTCTTTGCGGGAGACAAGCGAACGATCGTCCATCGAGAGTCGTCTGGATGTGAAACCTCCACCAAGCGGCGGCGAGAGGGAGAAGAGGCTGGTGTGTGGCTGGTGGCGGTGGTAACGTGCCCGTTAACCAGGTTTCACTTCCTTCCGACGCGGTGGCGGAGAGGGCAGGCCAACACCGAGCGCGGTTTTCGCTCCAATTTTCGAGCCGTTCCTCTATGACCGGTCGATTGGAAGTAACGCCGTAGGGAACGGAGTCGAGAGGTTTGAACAGCCAAGATGCGGTGAGAGAGAAAGAACCCGGGGCGGGGGGAAAGAGAATTGACCTCGCATTATCGGTCGGCCGATATTTGCACTCCACTCGTACTCGCGCGCGCACCGACGCATCGTCCTAGGTACGCGTTCCCCCTTCTTGTGCCCCCCTGCCCCCCTTCCTCCTCTCCAGCCCCCCCCCCCCGCTATAGAAGGGTTTTCCCGCTGAACTCGCCAACCGTTCTTTCTCCGACCGACCGACCATCTTTGCACTCTCCTCCGTTCCGCTCCTCTCCTCTCCCCTCCCCTCCCCTCCCCGGGAGCGTTTTTTATCTGGCGAAATAATCGCCGCGACGATTATTCGCGCGTCGCGTGGGCGAAGATGCAGCCGCCGATAGCAGCAGCTGCTGGCCACGCCGTCACGGCCACGGCCACTGCTACCAGCGGTTTACAGGCTTTCCTCTCTCTCTCTCTCTCTCTCTCTTTTTCTTTCTTTTTCTCTCGGTCGTCTTTCGCACGATCAAAGTGCGACCCATTTTCCCTGGTCGGTGGAAAAACATTTTACGCGCGAGGGAACAAAGAGGCGGGGGGGGGGGGGGGGGGGGAAGATATTCGTTCGAGTAGGAAACTTCTGGTCAGAAGAAGAGGAAGAAAGGGAACGAAAGAGAATGATGGAGAAGGGAGAGGCGGCGTCGGTGTGTTGGTTCGCGCCGGGCCGTTGCAGCTTACGGGTTATTCAAATGAACGGTAAAAATCATCCATAACCGAGGGTGGAACGGCGCCCACCCTGGGTATTGGTTATATTTAAATGGGTTTAATGCCCCGACCGTACCCTCGACCAGCCGGCAACCGTCCTCCTCTCCCGACTCGCCCGTCCTCCTCCACCTCTTCCTCCTCCTCCTCCTCCTCCTCCTCCACCTCCTCTGTTCTCCCTCGTCGCGGCTCCCTCGCGATCTCGCGTTCTCATCCTCCCTCTATCGTCGTCGCCACCTCTGTTCCTCGCCGTCTCCTCGTCTCCTCTCGCACGCCCTTCGTCCTCCGCGCGCGCGGTTCGACCTCCACCGCCGGTGGTATCCCACCCGCCGCACCGCACCGCACCGCACTGCTCGAGGGTTAAAGTACGCCGTCGATAAAAAGCAAGTGTGCCGGCAAGGTGGCGGGGCGGGGACGACGGTGAGACAGAGTAAGAAAAAGAGAGTGAGAGAGAGAGAGAGGGTGAGATCGTGAGCTAAGGGGGTTGAGGACGGGACGCAGCGACGGTGGCGTCGGCGGCGGCGGCAGAGAGACGAGAGAAAGGTGGCTGCGTGCGACCGAGAGAGGATCAAAACGGAAAAGGGCAAGAGGAAGGGAGCAAGGGAGCCCGTGGCCACGGAAAGGAGGAGGGGGGGGGGGGGGGGGGGTCGGGGGGCGGAGGAACGGCTCGAGAGAAGTCGGTGTCATTTTCATTCTTCCGTCTTTCTCTTCCTCTTCTCCGGCACCTTTTTTTTTTTTCTTTTTTTCCTTCTACGCCGGCTGTACTCTCAACAATTAGGTATATCTCGGGCCACCCTCGACATTGTTTTCGCGGCATCTCGAGTGAGCTTTTCGCTCGAGATTCTTTCCGCGCGTCGACGAGCTCGCATCTCTATCCTCCGTCTCTCCCTTCTCTCTCTTTCTTCCCTTCTTTCCACGCTGATGGTGTTGGTATCGCGCGCGCCCCACTCGACTCGACTTGACTCGACTCGGCTGAGAATCGAGAATCGTCACGCTGCCGCCAACGCAGGATCTCAAAGATCCTCGACGATTCTTCGATTTTGGAGAAAGGAAAGAACAGAGGGAAAAGGAAAAAAAAAAAAAAAGAATAGAACCGAAAAATCAAATATTTTTGCACCGCGGGAAATCGGCAGCGCGCGCCCGATCTGCCGCTAATCCGGACTCCGGCAAAACGATATCGGATTTTTCCGGCTCTGGCAAAAAAGGCGGAAAAATCGGCGCTGACAGAGGAACCAAAAAACGAAAAAAAAAAAAAATGAAAAAAAAAAATCGAGAGAAGAGACGGGCGAGAAGAGACGCAGCAAGTGAGTAAGCGGAGAGCGGGACGGAGATGAACGGGGAAAGCCCTGCGATCGGACGTGAGACCGAAAAATTGCGTGTAGTTTTCGCCGGGGCGACAATAATTGAAACGGTGCGTAACACCGTCCGAATCCTCGAAACCCATTTTATATTTTAATCGCACTCGTCGCCCCGACGCTCTCTTAACCCCCTCTTGCGCCCTCCGAGTCGTCTATGCAGCAGCTCGTTGCCCTCGTTTCGTTTCCAATCCTCTCCCCGCGTTTCCCGTCTTTTTTTTTTCTTTTTTTTCTTTGGTTTGTTTGTTTGTTTGTCCCTTCCTGCTCACTTCTCTCTCTCTCGATTTCCCACCGAATTACCCGCCAGACGTCAGGCTCGGGATTGGTTCGATCGCGATCGGATAATTTTCGATCGCAATATTGGGTCGCGAATTCAAAGAGATCAGCGACAAAAGTCGGAGATCGTCTATAAATAATCGCTGACGATCGCTCTTTGTATTCTGTAATTCGTGGCTACTGAAAATTTTCAAACTTTCAGACGAAAAAAAATTTCCAAAGACGCGCTCTCTTCCCGAGAAGGTCGATCGAACGGCGCGAGTAATTTGCGACCGATTCTCCTCCGTTGGACGAGGAACAAACTCGTGACAGAGCCACACGCGGGGAAAAACTGTGCCGGGAGAATGCGGAATACGTTTCGAGGGCCGATGAAATCGATTTCAACGTACCGACGATTGCAACCGGCTGTTCGCACGGTTGAGAAATCTAGCGCGCGTAATACGTAATTGCGTTGTTAATACATATTTACGCCCGTTCGCGTTTCACCGTAATTTATTATTTCTCCGCAATATTATATACATATATATATTTCGAAGGTCGATCGCCATCGTCGAATTGCCGAGCAAACTATACGTACATATGCAGCGAGTAGGCGAAACTATAGCCGGCTATAGGTCGGCGTCGCGTCGTCGACGATTCGTTATTCGTTGCTTCGCCACAGTGGTGGTGTATAGAATGCCATTGGTATAGAATCGGCATGTAGCAAGCGCGGCGAGCGCGAGCGTTAATCGATGAACGTTTAATCGATCGATCCTTTCTGTCTCTTGTTTCAGGTGAGTACACGACCATCGCTAACACGACAACGATGCCAACCGAAATCACGGGGAAACGTTTGGGATCGTCGCGTGAGTAAAATCGCAGTTTTCTTCCTTTCACGGCGACGCGGACGCGATCGAGTCGTCGGTACGGCTCTGCGCGGCGAGAAGAAACTGCCCCAGAATGGGAAAAGAGAAGTCGAGAGAGAAAAAGGGAAGTTTAGGGAAGCGTAAAGATGTCAACCGGCGGGGCGACTGTTTACGATTTTTAGGTCGGCGCTGCTTTAGGCGAATCGCGTCACGTCCGTACATATTTCCCCACGTATTTTCTCGGATATGAATAAACATGAAAATTCCACGTTGCTCTTTTTTCTTAATAATTTTTTATACTTGATATTTCATTAATGCAAGACATTCCGATCGAGCCTGCTACGGCAGCCGGTTGCGCAACGTGATTTGCGTTTCAATAACGCGCGTACATAGTAGGTACTCGTTGTGCGGCCTTTTCTTCCTCCTCCTTCTGCGTCAGCGTGCTTCCTCTCGTACCTCCGCCGACTCCGCGTCTTCGATCCTCTCTCTCTCTCTCTCTCTCTCTCTGTCTTTGAACATGCTCGCGGCTCCTCTCCTTTTCGCGTTGGTCGCGTGCTGCTTGCCAAACGCAGACGTAAACTTTACCGGACTGATTTTTCACCTCGGCATTTCTCTCGTGGGGCGAATAATCGGCGAAACGGGGGGATGGATCTCCACCGGAAGAATGGGAAGGAGAAACGCGTAGATGCGTCTATCATCGTGGCAGCGCGATGAGGAGAGGAAAGGAGGAGAAGGAAGGAAGAAAGGTGGTGGTGGTGTGCAGGTGCGCGCGGCCAGCAGCAGGAAAGAGAGCGACGAGCGCGGCCCCGTAACTGTATTGGCCCTGTACGGTGGCTGGATTTTAATCGAAGCGCAACGTATAAAGTTGCTGAAAATCAGATTATCCCTGCTCGTCCTGTTCCTCGTCCTCCTCCACTTGCCGCCTCGTTCGCTCCCTCCCTCTCCTCCGCTCCCCTCTTCTCTCCTCTCCTCTCCTCTCCTCCGCCTCCGCCGCCGCCTCCGCCCGTCCTCGATCTCTGCTTTCCGGTTGGCCACGACTGCGAACCATTTTTTACTCGCCCAGGGTTTTTTTTTTTTTTTATCTCGCTGATTTTTATTGATTCCTGCAAATCAAACGGTTCTATCCGCCGCGGACCAGCCAGCCAACCAGCCAGCCAGCCAGCCAGCCAGCCAGCCCGAAGCTTCCGCGGCCTCTCCGCAACCAACTTTGACCATCCGGACTAACGAGAAATCGCCATCATCCGCCGAACGCGAATCGTTTTTGCGGTACGGAGGTTTGCGTTACAGGTTTCGCCTCCCTTCGCGACCCAAAACTCCCCCGACACTCGCAACGATTCCGTCGCCGTATGCCCGAAACGAAGGGGGAGAGCTTTGGTGTCCATTGGGTGAAAAAAGAAGCGCGAGTCGACGCGGAAAATGCGGCGATAATTTCGCGCGGAGGACGCGAGAGAGGAGAACGTTAGAGTATGATTTTTAATAACGGCCGCCCGAGGAGAAGTGGGGGAGCTGTTTGCCATTACGTTACGCGGTAAATAATAAACGTTTATAAGGCCTTGGAAGTTATTATACAATATATACGTTCGTATACGCGCCCGATGCCATTACGGGTATCGTATATTATTAATGCAGCGGCGCTCAACCTACCGCCGCCGGCTGAAAACTATGTACACACACACGTTCGCGCCTTTTGCGCTCTCGTCTCTCCTCCGACGAACGCCGGCGGTCGATTCTTCGACCGGTCGCCGCGACCTGTTCCTCCCAAATGTTTCGTCGTCGGCCTCTCTCGGTCCTCTTCCTTTCGATTTTCTGTCCATCGGGATCGAAAAGCTGAGCGAGGCTCGACCTAAGCTAAGTTCGCTCGGCTCATCGTCGCCGCGATGCCTTCCCCCTTCGAATGTAATTACACTCGCAGCGGCATAATATTCCACCTGGAGTAATGACAGACTGTTTGTTTTTTCGTGGATGTGACAACCGCCGCGACGGCGCGATTCCGATTTCGGCCAAAAGGAGGCAAAAGAAAGAAAAAAGAAAGAAAGAAAGAAAGATGGCGGCGAGAGAAAAAACGAGAGACGCCACTCTGTGGACAGTTCTCACAGTTTCGGTTCAGAACTTCCGAGAGGCGTAATTGCGCAGTTGTTTCTCTCGAGAGATAAAAGACTATTCAAGGCGATCCGTGGCCGCGCTAGACAGAGAGATTAGGCGAATTATATTATTTTACGTGTAGTATCGCGAAACCGTGGGACGATAGCGCGACGCCAAAGTTTCGTATCAATATTTATTGTAAACGATAAGATTAAGAGGAATTTGTTAATACGCGGCTCGTATATTTATATTGTTGCGTCACGCGCCAGTTGGAGCCGACTGCTCGCTACTCGCATAAAACGCTCTATCGAATAAAATAAAACGGGGAAGCGGTTCTCAGCGTTGTCCTACGCGAGTTTTCCCGCGAGATGAAGAGAAAGAGGCAGAGGTAAGGAGAAAAGAACGTGCGTGAGGGCACCATCTCTACTCGTAAAACGGCCGGAATAATCGCGGGTTATTTATCATTTGATAAAACGTGTGTAGCGTATTTCGCTTCGTGGTGTAACTATGGCCGATTGCGTATACGTAAGCGTCCGCGTGACGCTTGCCGGGAGTGGGAGAGCGTGATTGCGCGCGAAAAGGACGAGAAGGGATAATAAATCGGTGGCTGGCGTAAAAGGATATTGACAAAACTATTAGCAACAAGACGGTTACATACCGTTTCGTCTGGTCGTCTTCGTCTTCGTCTTGGTCGTCGTCGTCGTCGTCGTCGTCGTCGGTCAATCGAATTCGAGTCTAATTAAAGATAGGCTGTCAACGCCGATCGGAGCGACGAGCCTTAACGAGGATAATTTTCCGGGAAAGTAAGTAAAAGAGAAGAAAGATGACGGGTGGCTGGTGGTAGTTCTGGCGCTTTTTCGCCGGCCGAGGAACTTCATCCGCCCGGCTTAAAAAGACTCTCAAGCCCGGCAATAACGAGGCGCTCATCGATCGATAATAATTTAATGATAGTTATTCTCTCTGCCAGGCTGTTACTTCTCTCTCTCTCTCTCTCTCTCTCTCTCTCTCTCTCCTTCTCTCGTGACGTGGTCCGGCTAAAATATTTTTGTATCGTTCTCTGTCGGCCAACTGGAAAGTCGATTCGTCACGACCTCCGCTTAGAAAATATGCTACTTCATTCTCTCGTTGGAGAGAAACACAGGGCCAAGAAAGAGAGAGAGAGAGAAAGAGAGAGAGACTCCGCGGGAGTCTCGGCGTACGTAAGTATTATACTTACGTACGTGCAGTTAGAACGACGATACATACACACACATAATCCAACATGTGCGCTCTACAGCGAGACAGAGGCAAATACGCGAGCGATCGTTGAGAAAAAGAAGGACAGAGAGACATCGAGGGGGACACCTACGTCTTCGGTTACGCTGCTACGTACTCGGCTGCGTTCTCGGCTCTCCGGTTCTCCAGCTCTCTCTCTCTCTCTCTCTCTCTCTCTCTCTCTCTCTCTCTCTCTCTCTCTCTCTCGCTCTCTCGTTCCCTCCCTCCCCCTCTTTCTCTCTGTGTGCCTGCGTTCGTAGCCGCGGCTACTTATATATAGAATTAAATATACGATACATTATTCATTTTAAGTTCTTTCTCCTTGCTTATCCGGAGAACGTATGTATTACCCGCACACTAACGTTTTCTTCCTTCCTCTTTCCACCTGGTGTCTCTCTCACTCTCTTTCTCTCTCTGCCTCCTTTCGCTCCCTTTCTCCTCCGCGGCCTGTGCTCTCTCTACTACCTCTTCTGGCCCGCGCTCGGCCCTCCTTCCTTCTCTCGCTCCTTTGCTATTCTCTCTCGAACGCGTTCACGGACGTGCGCGCGCGCACACATACACACGCACGCATACACGCCGTCAACTCTTTTCTACGTACATACATACGTACGCTTAGACGCGCACCGTCGAAACTTGCGAGCGAGCTCGCGGCTCTAACTTTTTATTTTAAAGATGGCAGCCTCTCATTTGCAATTCTATGCGGCACGTCGATACGCCTGATTTATCGTTGCTATACTTGTAACGAGTCCGCGCGATTCCGCCGCAATTTATATATATGTATGTATCGAGGGTGCACGCCGCGCGGACGTAGGTCGCCGCGCGTTCGCCCTTGTGATTTTCTTCGCCGGCTGGCCACCAAGAGCTTCCTCGTGATTCTTACCTCCGTAGTTTTACTTTTCTCGATTTACTTGACCTTTCACGGTCCTTTTGTCCCCCGACGTCACGTTTCGAACGCGATATTACGAACTGTTATTTCGAGAGTTTTGATCCAGCGGAGCGTCCACGACTTGGGACCGGAAAACGGACCACTTAAGATTAGGTGAGAGGTGAATACCAATATCGGTATCGTAGTTCCTAGTTGAGTGTCCGTACTTTTACCCCGGTTGAGCGTCCGTCGCTATCCCCTCCACCAGTTCTTGGAGAATATTGGGACTATTCCCCCACTCTATCGTACCGTGGGGCCGCGTGAAACATGACACTTGAACAACACAAAACAAGCTACATATATAATGACCAGGTATTGGTGCGTGGGATCGTGCAACAGCTGACGCTCATCACCATTGTTTCCTTCGATGCCAACTCGCGAAATACACTTATCCATTTAAGCGTCCGCTTTCAGTCCCAACGCGTTGATCGCCGCGTCACTCGTATGACAGTCGGATTTTTAAATCCTAAGGCAAATAATAAGGAAATATTTGATAGACGACTAGAGGAAATATTTAGTTAGATGATGAAGGAAATATTTAGAAATAGTAAATGATGTTTAGTGGGGAAATGAGTTTCTACGAGTCAAATTCGTTGTCAAACAATGATACAATAATAATAATAATAATTACATTATTTGCATAAAAATATACACAATACTATAATGGTTGTTTGTGATACAGTTGGGAAATATTATGGCATTTGGAAGCCTCGTTGGAAATTTTTTTAAATTTCTAGTC